TAGACGACTTGCTTCTTTGCCGCAACTTGCTACTTTCTGCTTCTTCTTCTACTCGGTTCCTTTTTCCAGACAACTCTGATTACGATCCTAACACCTCTTCTGCCTTGATAAACTTGTCAGCTTTGACAAGGAATCTCTCCTTAGAGGTTGAAGGGTTTAGCTCAATTTCCCAACCGAGTCAAGGTTGGGGATTTGCAAATATTCCAAGTTAAACCTTTTAATGTACTCGCGGAGCATCTCACTGGGTCGTTGGATGACATTCACTAGGCAGGTCGTAGATTTGGAATGCCTCTTATTGGTGGCGAAATGAGTGATAAAAAGGTTGGCAAGTTTATCCTAACTTTTTATGGATCCGGGGGCCAATCCTGAGTACCATAACTGAGCAGTGTCTCGAAGAGTTGTAGGGAAGGCGATACACAAACTCGCATCATTGGCCCCGTGTAGCTGAATCAATGCTTGAAAGTTGTCGGCATGGTCCACAGGATCTGTTGTTCCATTGTAGGTTTTAACTCTAGGTGCCCTAAAGTTCTTTGGCCGCGGGGCTATAAGTATCTCGGGGGCTAGCGGTGAGGTCCGAGATATAGGTTGCCCAGAAGAAGTGCCTACTCGATTGGTTGCTTTGCTTTCTTCCTTTTTGTCCATCACTCTCATAGATGGAGCGAGCTAACTTTTCTTTGAGGTGTGGTGAGCACATCTACGACACCTTTTCTTGGATCCTTCAGAGGAACTGGCAGCTTTAGTCCCTATAGGGGCAGTAGCCTGGCTTTCTACCAGGAGTTGATTCCGGTTCTAGTTAGGAACTTGGTTCTCTACTGGGGGCTGATTGAGGTTTTGATCAGGAACCCCATTAGAGACTTGGTTAGGGATCTAACTGGGGTCAGGTTATGGTTCAATCTAGCATTTTGCTACTAGTGTAGTCAAGGACATTGTACTCGGTGGTTTTGCTACTGGGACTAGGTCTGATGCTGTTGAAGTTGCTATTGCCCCCTATTAAGGTGGGGAACTTGTTCTCCCAGGATCTCAACTGTTCATTCATTCCACGAACACATTGCACCAGGTCATAGAACTGGCGCACATCAACTCCGAAGGGAGCCACGGATGGATGGAGGAGGCACATTCACATGAGATGGCGCCAAGGTTGGATTCAGAGCGAGTTGAACGACTGACAAAGTCAATGGTACATTAATCTATCTGATAGTCACTAAAGGGACTTCAGGGATCATGCCGAGTTATTCATGTCCTCCAAAAACTTGGTTATTATTGTTATTAGAAGGTTGGTTACTTGATGAAGCCATGAGTATTAATATGAGATGCTCAGAAACAAGAACTTAGCTTTTTGCAGTGTGTTCCCACAGACGACACCAATTGGTGTAGCACGATCTAACGGCTCTCACGTGTCAGATGACTTGAATCGGATATTCGGTCGAATTCAGATATTATTTTTTTACCGAATAAATTATCGGATCGAATTTGGATATACATTAATCCGATAAATATCCAAACTAGTTATGTATAATATAAAGGTTAAGAAAGAAAAGAAAAAAGAAAATGAGAAATGAGTTAAAAAATCAAAACCTTTTGAGTTTTAAGTCTTTTGTCGAACCTTACCCCTCTCTAGTCTCCACTCTCCATTAGCATCAAGTTTCAAAACCTAAACCCTAAGTTCCTAACCCTCTGTCACTCCCTTCACTGTCGTCGTACGCCGCCCGAGCAACTACCATCACCGGTCACCGCCCCTCATCCTCCGTTGCTCCGTCTAGTCGTCGCTCATCTAGACTCTAGTCGCCCCTCAAGTCTCAAGTCTTAATTTTCCTCTATGGCTCTATCTCTCTTCTCTCAATGAGACTATGACCCGCCACCCAAGCAACCACCATCGCCGACGACAACATCAATGATAGCGGTCGAGCACCAGTCACCGGCCATAGCTCAAGCTCAACGTCGTCTCCTTCGCCACTGCTCAAGATCAAGCTCAACGCCTCAAGTTCCTCAACCGTCCAACATCACCAGCCTTGTGCTACAACAGTACAGCATCACCGGCCAAATACAGCTCACTAGTCACTACCATCGCGATGCTGCTCAATCCAAGGTGGTACACGAACTGAGGAGAGCAACCAGATAGTCCTTGCCAATAGGGCGGTGTCGGGCTACAAGGACGAGGCCACACTTCAAGACCTGTGATCAAGAAAGGAGAAGTCAGAGGCCCAATGAGCTATCCCCGGGTAGGTACTCCAACACTCAAGTCAGTAGGAGGTAGCAGAAGGTTAGGCCGAGCTAGGAGAGTGCTGGACCGAGCAAGGAGGAAGTACGAGTGTCAGAATTTCGACTCCTTTACCTTGAGCATGGAGTACCTCTGTGTCCTGGTTGGATTGAGCTTCCGGGGTTGTCGGGGTGCGGTTGGCCACCGAGGTATTTGGGATAGAGTCATATTCCCCGGTGGAGTTGTCTTCCTTACTCCTCCTTATCCGTAGACATGCTCATCCGCATGATGTGTAGCTGACGTGGATGAGAGGATAAGATGGTAGGCCATAATAATAGCGTAGATCGGCCTAGGTCGCGAAGGAGGCCATGTATGCCGCGAAGCTGGCCGAGCTAAGCTAACACGACTGGGCTGACTGGGCGATGACTAGGCAGCCACGTGTCTCTCAGGACCAGCTCAGCCATGACCCGAACACATCGCATTCGCACCACCGGGATCCCACGATTGCCGCTGTCACACACTCACACTTGGCCCACCGTCGAAACCCACGACTGCTGCCATCAATCCCCTGCCTCTTTTCACAAGGTAATTTGATTTTCATAGATTACAGATTACAAATTTCTTATAGTGATTTAGATAATGATTTATTGGTTTTTTGGTTTCTAGTTTTGAGCTAGATTTTTTAGATTAAATGAGATAGAGTAGATTATAGATTTAGGAATTGGTTTATTCATTTTCCTATTCTAATGAGATAGAATAGATTACAGATTTTTGAATTCTGACAATGATTTAGATAATGATTTATTGGTTTATTAGTTTTTGGTTATGACTTATGAGCTAGATTTTTCAGCTTAAATGAGATAGAATAGATAGAATAGACTACAACTTAGGGATTGGTTTATTCATGTAGATAGTGGTTATGTTGCAAATTTATTTTGTCCTAATTCCTAAATGATATTATGAATATTTATTGATTCTCATTTTCTAGTAGTTTTAAATGTGATAGAATAGATAGAATAGACTACAACTTAGGGATTGGTTTATTCATGTAGATAGTGGTTATGTTGCAAATTTATTTTGTCCTAATTCCTAAATGATATTATGAATATTTATTGATTCTCATTTTCTAGTAATTTTATTTAATGGTTATCCATTTACCTTGCTAGTTTTAAACTTCTAATATCTTTTAAACTTTATTTTGTGTAATCTTTATTTAGGTTTCATATTTACTTTTGAAGAAAATATTAAATATGCCTAGATCGGTTAATCCTTCTTAATCTACCATTGGACCTAACGCAATAGTGAAAATGGTGAAAATGTGAATAGTCCTAGTGCCGCATTGCCCCCATTAGTCTCAAGAAAAGAAAAAGAACATTTGTTAAAGTGTGGAAGCATTTTGACATAATCCTTAATGCAAAAAATGAGGAAAGGGATGTTTGCAATTATTGTAAACAAGATTTTAATGCAGCAAGCACTAGTGGGACCACTCATCTAGATAATCATGTCTCAAGATGTCCACAAAGATTACCAGAAAGACAAAGAGAAATTGGACAACAAATGTTGACAATTTCTAGAAATGTAAGTGACAACAAAGGTATGCGCTCTAGAAATGTTGACAAACTAGAGCGATGGAGATATGATCCTGATTTAGCACAAAATATGCCCATCAATAGATGAAGCACAGAGTCTATTCACTCCCTCGTGTTTGATGAGGTGGCTTGGACCGGGTTCAATCTGTGGTGAGCCGAGCTGAGGGTCTGAGCTGGGATCTGTTGAAACGAAAGAGAGGTTAGAGTGCCTGGGTAAATTTTACCCGGAAGACACTTCGATGCTTAAGTCAGTAAGTAGTTCAATCAGAGAAATTAGGAGAGAGTGAGAGCTTATGTGCGCATACCTTATTGAAGTGGTCCTGGGGTCTTTTTATAGCCGCTTGAGGTTCAGGTGCTATTGGGTAACATCTTTGAGCCTTGTATGGAGTTGTTTCCCTAAATTCTGGGGTGTACTGGTCTGTTGATTGCTAGATCTGTGTGGCGGTTACAGGGCGCCTACTGGTCTTGAGGCGATCAACTCGGTGGACCGCTCCCTGTGTTGCGGTTACAGCGCTTATGCAGGCGTTGCCTTCGGGACTGTTTCAAGCGAGCTAGAGCTGTTAGAGGATTGAGCTCGTCCTAGCTCAATCGCATACCAGATACTGACTGCCACGTGTTACTTTGGCGAGCTACTCTACTATGCTAGACGTTGTGGGCTGAGCTTGCTCTAGCTCGGCCGTGTACCTGATGTCGGCTGCCACATGTTAAGTTGGCGAGCTATCTTGTTGAGTGGGACGTTGTGTTGTTGACAGCGTCCACGTGTCCACCATCAATTAGGTTGACCAAAATGCCCCTCATCAGATTCAATAATGAGTAGATATGACTTTGCAAGATACCTAATCAAACATAATCAACCATTTAGCATGGCAGAGCATGAGTTTCTTGAGGTTTGGGCTATTGGTCTTAATCCCATGTTTAAAATGGTTTCACGCAACACAATTTAGAATGGTTGCATGAAAATCTATGAGGATGAGAAAGATACGCTTTATGGCATTCTTGATAGGCTTAATTCCCGAGTTAGTTTCACTATTAATATGTAGACATCAGGGCAAAATATTGGATATTGTTGTTTAGCTGCACATTACATTAATGATAAGTGGCAATTGAGAAAGAAGATTATAGGTTTTTGAGCTATCAGAGAGAAGTACGATGCTGTAAACCTTACTAGAGTCATCAAAGATCTTATTTTGCATTGGAACCTTGATAGTGAAATGATGGCTTTCACTATTGATAATGCTTATGAGAATGATGTTGTAATTAAAAACATGAAGGAGTGGCTTCCTAGGCAGGGTAAACTTCTTTTGTCAATAGAATTGTTCTATGTGCGTTGCACAGCACATGTTTTGAACCTCATTGTGCAAGATGGGTTGGATGATGTTAGGCACTTGATGGGAAAAATCATAGAATCAATCAAATATCTACAAGCTTCAAGCCAAAGAAATCTGAAATTTGAAATGGCAAAAATCCAATTGAAGATTTGTAGTAAAAGGAATTGATTTTAGATTGCCCCACAAGACGGAATACAGCCTATGATATGCTCAAAACTGCACTTGAGTATAAGACTGCATTTGCTCGATTGAAACAAATTGATAAAAAATATAATCTTAATCCATCTTTTGAGGAGTGGGATATTGGTCAAGTTGTTTATGAATGTTTGGAATATTTTTATGAGGCAAATAATGCATTTTTAGGGACTACATATCCAACACCCAACTTGTTTTTTCTTGATATTTGTGAGATTCGTGTGCAGATTGATGAATGGCTATTGAGCAAGTACGATTATATTCAAGCAATGGCTGGAAAAATGTTGGAAAAATTTAAGAAATATTGGGATGAGGTTAATTTACCTTTGGCAATAATAGTGGTTCTTGATCCAAGATACAAGTTGGCACTTGTGAGGTATAATTTGCATAGGGTTTATGGTTATGTGGGAGAAGATGAACTTGCAAAAGTGCGTGAATGCCTTTATAACTTTTACTCTCACTATGCAAATTATGATACCTCATCCACTCCTAATGAAGAGAATAGTCCCCTTGAATCATCCATAACAAGTTCAGCTTCAGGTGTGATGCAAGAGAGTAAGAAGAAGTATCTCAAAAGCTTTCAAAAATGGTGCACAAGTGATGAAATAACAACATCAGTGTTCTAATACAAAAAATCAGAATTGGACCAATACTTGGAGGAGTCCTTGATTCCATAAATGCTGAATTCTAATGTGCCAAATTGGTGGTCAATTAATTTTTCTAAGTTCAAAATTCTCTCAAAAATGGCTCATGATGTCCTAGCAATTCAAGCAACCATTGTAGCATTAGAGTCAACATTCAACATAGGTGGTAGAGTGTTGGATCCTTATCGGTGTTCATTGCTTCTAGAAACAATGGAGGCTTTGATTTGTGCACAAGATTGGATTGAAGCACCTCCTAAACCAAAAGCTCCATGTAGTAACTATATTCATGTTTTAGTTTCTTTTGATGAAGCATGTGCTTCTTCTATGTCTCCTATCGGTAAATCTATTGAAACTCCGATGACTCCATCCTCAAATCCAAGTGGAAGTGAAAGTGCAAGCATAAATTTTGATGGAAATTGTGCTCATGCAAGTGGTGCATCCAATTAGCATATGTAAGATTGAAAGTAATTTTTATTCTTTTAAATATTTATGAATTGTGATTGGTGTTTTCCAAGATTTTGACTAACATGTGGTTTTATACTTTTCTTGCTATTTTTTTTTTTTTTGTAGGCTTACACTTTGGTCATTTAAATGAATGATAGTTTGGAGCCTTAAACAAGTTAATTGGTCATTTGCATGAAGGATAGCTCATTAGCTTGAACTTTAGTCATTTTCCTTGGAGACTTGAAGCCTTGAACTATCTTTTATAGTGTTTTTATGATGGTTGTATGGATAAAATGGTTATTTTAAACTATTTGGGACTGATTTTGATATATGCTAGTTAGTTTTTTCTTTCTTTCTTTTTGGTTTTGTTGAGTTGACACTTAGTGAGTCTTTGCTATAACCTAAAGTAATCAAGCAACTTATGTTTCTCCTTCTCTTTAATTGACTATGGTTGTTGAAGTATTGAATAGTCCATGCTTTGATTAATAAGGGAAGCAATGAATAGGTAATACTTGAGTTTTGACATCTTTATGTTTATTTTTTTAAAGTATAGTTTCAAAAGAGTTTTATTAAATAGGTTTTAATTTTTGCAGGCTTTTGGTTTGAAGTTGAGGGAAAACAAGTGAGAATCCAATCCAAATGCAAGATTTATTTTTGGCACATTGTTTTGCTGATTTTTGACATATTTTTATTGATTTTGGCTCAACATGTGAGAATCCAATCCAAATGCAGCCTTAGGTGATAGGCAAGTGAGGGAATGGGATGTGTCATCTAACAATCCAACTTCATTTCAGCAATGGAGCTTGCATTGAGGCAAGTAACAATCCTCACCAAACAATCCCTTTTAATTACATTTAAGATGCAATCCCTTACATTGAGCTCTTTTTTTCTCCCCCTAGGTCAGACTAGCAAATAATACATATTCTTTGGACAAGACCAGCCTTTTTGAATATAAAACTCATTTTACAGTTATGGTAAGTTCCAATAGTTTCTTGTTAGTAGAAAACCAGCTTCTTTAGCTATAATCCTGAAGTTTTATTTCCCCTTTTTTCCTTTCTTTATTTTGTAGAAATTCATAAGAAAATAAGGTTTTGAATATGCTCTTTTATTGGGGGTTCAATTGTAATTTGAGTCAAAGAACTGCCAATTGGGAAAATTGGAGAGCATAGCCTTGATTAGAGCCAACCTACCCCACCTTTTGAAATATAATTTATTTTTCAAGTTCCAAAAGTGGAATTTGCATTGGTTCTTTTTGAATTGATTCATATTTACATTGCATTCTGATTCTGATTTTTCAAAGCCAGTTTTTGGTGCACAAACTGGTTCATAGATACTTGCTATGATACAGCAGAATATACCAAAAAAAGTTAAAACTATGCCAATCCCAATCAAGTCCATGTATGATTGATGAGTTAGATTCATCGAGTCCTGGATCATATATGATTACACATAGATGAATAACATTTTTTTTTTCATATTCTGTGTTATTGATGTCGGGCCCACATGGTTGATTTGTGCTTTGTTGGTCTGAACATGTCAATTGAACTGAACATGGCTGAAATATCTAATGCTACTCTTATGAAAATTTACAAAAATTTCAGCTTATCATTTATTGAAAAGAAAACATCTCCAGTAAAGCCCAATGTGTTTATAGACAAATTAAGAGTTAAAATTTTGGTAGCTTTTTTCTGAGTTTGCTTTCATCATTTTTCCTTTTTCTTGGATTTAGTGCTTTCTTCAGACTTTATCTTTCATTTTATACTACATGCTTAACTTGGAGGTACCTACAGTTCATGAAATAGGTTCACTCATAAAGTCTGGTGTTCAAGTCTTAGTTTATACTTTTAGGTTAATCATTGAACCAGGCCCTTGCTTCTAATTTACAACTTGGGTGGTGTTTAGTCTCATAATTCAATCTATTTGTCTTCTTTGGCTTATTTTAATTAGTGAGAATAAAGAAAAGCAAGTGCAAGAAATTCATATGTATACATGCAAAATAAAATGCAAACTTTCTTCTTTGGGGGACATATGATTGGCACCTCCTCACTTCCTCAGATCACTTGATAGAAATAATGAAATAGTTGTTGCGTTAACTAAAATAGTTTAGTATTTTGTCCTTGTCAAACTTGTCTAAGTAGGAGATAAGTAGTCTCAACCCTAAATATTTTTCCTTTTATCCATTATCATTTAACTGGAAAAAATAAAGATTAATTCATCTTTTAGGATAAGTAGGAATTAAGAAATAAAGATTAGTTCTCAAAAGTCTTAATTTTCTTTTTTGTACAGGACTTTGCACATCAATGATCCATATTTTGTTGTTTGGCTATTGGGTTGTTTGTGTGTTTGCCAAGGTACATTCATTTAATTCCTTATTTTCTGACTTTTATTCTATAGTCTGAAGTTGTTTTTGCGGAATGTGATTAAGAATTTAATTAACAAATGTTCTAATATATTAGTTTCTAGTCAGTTTGATTATAATATTGCTTTTAGAGTGCTTTTATTGGGTTTCTAGTCAGTTTGATCAAATCGGATTGGATTCCAATCTATTCGAATTCATATTCAAAAAGTCAATCGGTCGAATTTGAATCGAATCAAACATTCGATTTAATAATCAAAATCGAATTTGAATTGATATATTTGATATCCATCAGATATCGAATCAAATTCGGATATTAGTATTTATAATTGATTTCGAATTCGAATCTAGCCTAATTCAATTTGAATTCAATCCATTTACAGGCCTAACTGGAGTGGAGGATGAGAAACAAATATGACAAAATAATAATCTGAAATGTTGATGTGGACACGTGCGAAGTGGAACTTGTATGCGCCCTAATTGTGTGGGTATCGGTAGCACTAGAGCAAGGTTCCAACATGAAAATACTAACAACAATGTACCACCTATCTCACAATTCCCTTTGAAGTTGATAAAGTTGGAATGGATGTTTCAAATCTAATTGAAGAACGAAACAAGATAGAGAGAATATATGATTGATAACTTAAAAAAAAAAACTCCACCATTTGAGGCCGCGGAAAGGTTGGACTAGGCTATTACTGTACTTGGGAATATAGACCCATTAAACCTTTTGGCTGCATTTGTTTGAGGTGTAAATTCAAAATTTACACCATGGAAAAAATGAACCGATTTAGTGATTGGTAGAAATTAAAACCGGTTCATTTTGAAAATTTACACCTACTTTGTTTGGTTGTCAAGGTGTAAATTCGGTGAGATGATTTATATAGAAAGAGGGAAGCAGGGAAAGAAGAAGAAGAAAAAGGAGAAGAGAGAAAGAGAGAACAAAGAGAGACAGATCTACCACTTTGCCTCACCTCTCCATTGACCTCTCCGGAGATCTACCATTTCATACCAGAAGAGAGACAAATGTACCATTTCATACCGGAAGAGAGACAGATGTACCATTTCATATCGGACACGTTCTCTTGACCTCTTCATTGTTTCTCACCTTGTCACCAAACCAAACCCTTAAAAGTACAAACCACGAAACAAGTCCTAAAACACGATATCTACCATAAACGACAAAGCTCACAACTTCAACAACCCAACAGGCCATAGGGGTTCAGATCTGCTGCTGCAACCAGCGGCGGTGATGGAAAGAGAAAAAAAGGGGGGGAGAAGAAGAAAAGAAGAGAAGAGGGAGAAAGAGAGAGAGAGCGGCAATTATCGATGTAAATTATAAATTAAAATGTAATTTTACACCGATTTTTATTGTAAAATTACATGTTTACTAAACATCAATAAAATCGAATCGGGGTATAAAGCTTACCCGGGTTTGATTTTCCACCCCAAACAAACGTACCCTTTAGAAAAAATGTCACCTCGTGCATAAGTCTTAGGCTAACCAGTCACATTGCAAACAAGATTTCCTACCACTACTCTCTACCCACACTTTATCCACCGTGAATTGAAAATATCTGAGATTGGATTCAGTGTTGTTCGAACAGTCTCTATAAAATAAAACACACAAGTATGGACCAATGCAAGGCTGTAAAGGATGTTCAAACAGTCTTGCACGAAGCTGAACTCTTACATGTCATATAATTTTCTCGTACTGTGAGATGTGCGGCTGCAATGTACTAGTAAAGATAGGATGCCCTCTGAGAAAGAGTTAGGAACTCTATCCAGAGAAAAAGAGCGTACAGCATTTTTGGGCTGAACACATTAACCGATTCCTGCCTATGTCTATCCTTTTGGTAAAAAGAAAAAACAGGCAATTACTATTTTACCCCTCTCATACTCTCATAGTAACGTTCCCAAAAACGCTCTCAAGTCTCAACAACAGTCTACTGGCCCCTCCTCGGGGGATGCGTAGCCTCATTCTCAATGTCTCACCAAAAAATAATAATAATTAAAATATAACCAAAACTCGGGACATTTGACAATTTTATCTGAAAAGGAAAATACACATACTTATATTTTCATCAAACCAGGTAGGACCGTAGGACTAAGGAATTTCACCAAAACCCGCCATCGTCCTCCAATTACACCAAAGAAATTAATACAAGGTCCAGTGGAACGAGGACTCAGAGATCAGAGCTCAAATGACATTAAATGCAAGAAATAAAAAGGCAACATTTTCCACATGCATGTTTCTGATACCCCAGAGCCAACATCCATAATCAAATCCAAGAGCTTGGCATAGGTTTCTAACAATTTCCTACTCCAAAAAGTAGTTGTAGGCCGTAATGTTACGGTTCAAAATAGGCATAGTCAGGCTTACGTTAGGGACATGTCCATCACATCGGTGCCAAGTCACTTCTTCAGCGCATAGTCGTCTTGCATTATGGTTGTCTCCCTTTAACACGTAAGCGGTGCCTCCCATGGATCGGTCTGAGCCAAGAGAGTGCCTCGGCCATTAGACTTGAGATCATGATCCAGTACTACTGACTTTAGTGGAAGGTTTCTTCCACGGTAAACTATCCCCGTAACAGGCGCCACTCCAAAATCTCCGGCAGGCAATTCTGTAACTTTTAACTAATGAAATGCTAAATAGTCTCCCAGACGCCCAATAGGCTACAAGTTGCTGCCAGTAACCAATACTCTAGTATACAATGACCTCTGGCAATTAACCAAGTCAAATCTTACATAGGCACTCGAGTGCCTAGAATCACAAATAAGGTGTTGTTTGGCACATCAAATAGATGCGTCTTTTGGTCTGCAGAAAACCCAAAAGACCAAAAAAGCCTTTTTCTATTTTGTATTGCATAAACGGAAAAACGAAAAGACAACACAGAGAAAGACCGATAAAGACAAAAACAGAGAGCTTCAAATGAAGCTTTTGGTCTTTCCACCAACTGTCTTTAACAGCCCGGTAGATCATGACAAACCAAAACGGTCTTGATCTATGAAGACAAGACCACAAAAGCTCGGCGAATCATTTTGTCTATTGTGCTGTTGAAAGATCTAATAGATAGAGTTGCCAAACAACTCCTAACATTGCGTTTGAACATGCTTTTCTAACGCACAAAAAGATCAACGCCCCCGATTTTAGGTTTTGAAACTTTGGGCCTCGATAGTGTTATTATGCTCTAGATTATAGTATTTAAAACTCAGAAGAGCTTATCTGATCAGAGTCCATATGATGTCACCACCTGTGCATAAAGAACAGCTCGACCAACCATTCTCCTATCAGGGACCAGGGGCCATGTGAAGAACGATTAAGTAGTCTGACAGAAAACCACTAAATATATCGGAAATATGCTTGTTTAACGAAGATTAAGTAGTGCTAAAGTGTCATGGATCAATAACGACTGACACCCACCGAGTCAGTAGAGATTCATTTTTGGGATTATCAAACACGATGTGATTAAAGGTGAATACAGAAAATCTTTTGGTTATCACACGAATAAGTTGTATGATCTGGTCATGCAGTTCCTCCGATGACCTACCCATTGCAATTGAATTCCCTCACAAATTCCGGCGAAGCTACGCCAAAATATACCACTCACATTACACGCATACTCGGTATCTCAAACAATAAGCTCCCGCTTCCAATTAACTAATAACTACAATTTTACATTCTTCAGATCCACTAAACCAATAATTATGCACGAAATCCAAATTCCAAATTCTCAGATTTAAGATAAAATCCTACCATTGTATATTCCGCAGGGAAAAAACAGATCCAACGTTCAAGAAACTATTGGTTCTCTCTCTTTCTCTCCAAATTTACTTAACAAGATTACAGTATCTCAAGAAAACAAAAAAAGGCCAGAAGAAGAGGTAGAAACCGATGAGAACCTGAATGGAGATCGGAAGAAAGATTCATTAATCGACGTTCTGCATGATATCCTCGGGAGTGAACTTAGTGCCCTTGTCCTTATCAGCAGCCGCTCTGCCCTTGGCCTTGCGATCGAGGAGAGATTTGCGATCCTTGTCGAGCCTGAGTTTCGTGATGACGACCTTGGATGGGTTAATGCCGACGTTGACGGTGGATCCATTAACCTTCTCTCTTGTGATCCTCTCGATGTGGATCACCCACTTACGGCGGTAGACCTGAACGACCTTCCCTTCTCGGCCCTTGTAAGTCCCACGGACGACCTGAACCTCATCATCCTTGCGAATGGGGACAGATCTCACGTTGTATTTGCTTCGGAGATCGGCGGAGAGGGGAGCGCTCATCAGAACGCGACGGACGCTCGATGGCGCCGTGAAATGGGCTTTCCGATTCTTTCTTCTCGAGCTGGAAACCCTAGGGTTGTACTTCATCTTCGCCTCTTATCCGTTCCTTTTCTTTCCCTCCCTAGCTTTCTCTCCGGCTCCAAATGAAACAAAATCAGAGGGTGTGTCTCGTACTAGGGTTTTGTATTTATACTTTCACTCTGGTTATTAGGGTTTGCGGAACGGAGTTACGCAGGAGGAAGTTTGTTTCCTTTGTTTCAGCGTGTATAGCGTATACACATAATGTTTGTCTATTCTAAGCGAATGACATTATTCTCTTCATCATCCAACCGAATCTAATGGATGAGATTATTCATTGCCTTCTTGCATCCTCCAAATTTAAATGGAAGGATATGCCTTTCCTTTAGGTTGTGTTTGGTTACGGTTCAATTTATTTGCATTAATATAAATGCATGGGAGTAGTGAAAAAAATGCAAATTTTTATTTAATTTTATTTTAAATTTTTCTTTATTCTGTCTTAATTTATTTCATTTGTATTGCAACCAGATAAAATAAGTTAAAATTTGGAAAAAAAAAATAAGTCAGAATTTACGCTCATATCATTTGCACGGCCACAATTTTGAGATTCCTCCTTTCACCAAACACAGCCTTATGTATTTTAAGATTCCTCCTTTCTACCACTTTTGGGCTTCTCGTGGGCTTGGCCAACCTGGGTTAGGAGATATAAAACGCCCATCACGTCATAGGGTTATTCTAGTCCACAGAGAAATTTTTAAGGGTGCGGCCCAGGCAAAAGGTGAGTGGGCCGAGTGGTCTGGACTGGACTCTGGACTCTGGAGCTTCGTAAATAAAATAGATATATGCTTATTACATGTCGCAGCGAACTTTGACGGTCCATACATCTATAATTCTACCTTTTCAATTAAGAACTATGAATAAAAAGGATTTATTGAACAATTTGCATGGAAAATATTCAAAAGTTGTGTAAGATCAAGCTCCGTTTGGAAAATGATTCATAGAAATTTAAGAATGCCATTTTCTTATAACAATCTTCATTTTTCTTGAAAGGTATATATTCATTCCCCGCCATCGCCTAACGAGTCACCAAACATGTAGTAGAAATAGCAGTTTTGAGGAAATCGTTCATTTTACCTGCAACCAAACAGAGCATAAGAAATGCACAGACCTTACATGGTGGGGTTGTGAGTTTAGACGTTAATAGCCTGCTTATATATATTATCAATAACCAATACTTTCCTTGAAGTTTATTGGTCGTCCTGAGAACACAACAATTGCAATAAAATATCAAAAAGAATTAATTTCTTTTAATAGAATTTTATGGCCCAGGACTTTGTTTTCAAGGAATAAGAAGAAATCATTCAAATACAGCTATGAATATTTGAGCAATAAATCACAAATGTTTGTACAAAACCCTTAAGCTAGCATCACCAGCCTTGTTCCGATGAAATGCTAAATTCGGTTCCTTTTATCATCAAATACACAACATAAAAAATGAAAAGAAAAGAAAAGATAATTGTTAAATCACAGTTTCTAAAATCCCTGTGTTGACACCGTTGAACAAACCCCTCCGTAAGTTTAATTGGAGATTCAGATCAAATTTATTAATGAACTATCCACCAATCTTCAGCTTAAAGCATCCTCCAGCCAAGAGTGGCTCTAGCAGTTTGGTTTCCATTTTCATCCTCTCCTCCTAGTCTTAGGCAGCTGTAGCTATCAGCTCCCATTGTCTAGTTGCTTTCACGAGGGCCCTGTTTCTAAGCTTAGAATCTAGGAACTGCAATCCTCTCATTTACAAAATCGAATTCGGAACTTTGCGTGAAAATCTGTTACCATGGAGCCACAAGTTTTGCAGTCGAACTAGCTTTGCAATCTCTTTGCGGATTTCACCACTGAGAGAATTGCAAGCCAAACCCAAGAACTTCAACTTTGAAAGATTGCGCACATGACTACTAAGCTCCCCACAGAATGAGTTACCAGTCAAGTCCAGGTGTTCTAAATTTCTTAAGCTGAACAGCAGAGAAGGAATAGAAGCGCTCAGATTATTGTAGCTCATGTCAAGGTAAACCAGTCGATTCAACCGAGCCAGTTTCCAGATTGGAATTTCGCCTTGTAGAAAATTCTTGGAGACATCAAGCTTGGTTAGGCTCTTTATGTTGAAGATTGGCGCCATGACAGCGAAAGACCCAAGATATAACTTGGAGAGATCCAGGGCGATAACAGGCTTCAGAGCCGAGTTGGAAGAATCACAGACGACCCTTTCCCATTGGCAACAATCGGGACTGGAATTCCATGACTCCAAGTCAAAGAGAATCTCATCAGTGGATGAGTTTCTGATAAGCGAGTGCTTGAATTGAAGGAGGGCTTGCCTGTGAGCTATAGGACAAGCCAGGGAAACGGTGATACACATTAAACAGAGACAGAGGAGACTTGATTCAATCAGGCTTAGCTTAGACATCTTTACTTCTGTATTATGCATCTCTGTGCATATATATGTATTTGTGTTTGTGCCAAGAATACAAGTAACGATTCGAGAAACAGGGAATCAGTCAGAAGATAGAAATGGTTGATTTGTTTGGATGATATTATATTATTACTTGTACATTGTTTGACTTGTATATACTTTACTCCTCACATACATTCTTATGAAAAATCTTATTATACTATATATCCAGTTTCATATATAGAGGTGCAAGTAATTAATTCTACATATAGTTTTCATATAAGGTCTCTGTTGCTGAGTGATAAGAGTTGGGTCAAATGGGGCGAAGGCAGATGGAAGAAGACATGGGAACGAAAGATGATGAGAACTGGTTCGGGGTGGGTAAGGAACTAATTAAGGTAAGGACCAGGGAGGAGAATCTAAAGTCAAGTTTAGTTTGCGAGAGATGACAAAAGAAGAGAGCGAGTAGCTGGTAGGAGGGAATCGCGCGAGTAGTAGATAAGGACCGATCGATTTCTGGAATTTGGTATTTAAGAGACCAAGACTGCCAATAGTTGTAACTAATCAACAGAAAAATAAATAAATTACACTTAAAAATGGGGATTAAGAACTGAAGACAATAGACAATCTGGTGCGTGCTTTTAGTGCTGCTCTTCTTTATTTTCATTTTAGCGACCAACCCATTAATAGCAATTTGGTTCAACGTACCAAATATAGAATAGATGGCGACCGTGTTGAATCAGCATGCATGTGTATAATTAGGTAATTTAGTTGGGTTGTGCTTCCTCTCTTCAAGCCAAGCCTACAATTAACAAGATTAGGGCCGATGGTTTGGCAATCCAACCCTTGTACAACGTCAATGTTTCGTCTCTGTGTGCGTCTGTTATGTGTGTGTGAGGGGATTCACAAACGCAATTCATTAGTTGACCAAATAAACTTAGCCAAACCACCAGATTTTTTAGTTGGGTTAGCTTGTTTTGGGTTGATTTGGTGATATATTAAATATAGGATTCCACTACATGATACCTTGTGTAAAAATCGAGGTTATGAACCCCAATCCTACTCCTAATGCAATCCAACTTTCAACCGGAACCTAGTCAACCCTAACTCAATCGAACCTTTCTCTCATATTCTTAAAATCTCGTAAAATGTGTAAATTTCTTAAATTATCCTTAGGTTTTAGAAAATTGACTAATCATAAGTCCACCCTAGCGGTTTAACGTCTGTTAGTGTTTCATCACAATCCGTTTACATGTGACATAATATGACATGTAAAATTTTTTTAAAATCTAATATTATTTATTTGTGGTCAATTTTGTCCTCTTTTATTTTTTAAATTTTCAAAATATATAAATAGAATCTCTCTCTCTACAGAATGTAGGTGTAATCTCTTAAACTTGAGAACCAGCCAGAAAATGATGAGGTATCAGCAGAACAACATTGGATCTATGGTGCTCGAACACATTAGGGGAGGGAATTTGTGGTTGTGGCTTGCAATTTAGGGAGCGGCATTTGCCATGATGTGTGGAGTTTTTCACAACTGTCATGAGGAAGACTTTGGCATTGGTTCGCCGGTGCAGATGCAGAGCTTGAAGTAGAAATAGAAGCAACAGAGGTCAAGGTCAAAGAGGAAGGTTGTCAGAACTTTTGAACTTGACATAGACATCGGAGACCGGATTGGAGGATGAAACCAGGGTTGAGACGAGGAAACTTGAGGTTTTTGAGGAGCTTTAGGGAGTGGTTAATAGATTGCAACTTCAAGAGGGATTGCGACAGAAGGAAGCAGCCATTGATGTTTGGAGGCTTAAGAAGGAAGATTTAGAGGCAACGACAACACTTTCCATGGAATGGCCTTGATGAATAAATCAGCAGGTCAAAAAATGCTTGACGCGTGAGCAGTGAGTAAGTCTCCACATTGGACTAGGTCACACACAAAGTGATAATCAATTTTTATGTATTTTGTGCGTTCATAGAAGACTAGGTTTGCTGTAATGTGGAGAGATTCTTTGCTATCACAATGGAGAGTTGGAGGCTCAATGAGAGTAACAATGAGTTCAACAAGTATTCTTCATAGCCAAACTAGTTCAGAAGAGGCAACAGCCATGGCCCTGCATTCGGCTTCTTCTGATGAGCAAGAAACTGTGTTTAGCTTCTTCGTTTTCCAAGAAAGAGGTGAGTTTTCGAGCAAGGTGAGATATCCCATGGTGGAATGATGGGTAAGAGGACACCTGGACCAATCTGAGTCACATAAACCATGCAACTGAATGGTGTTCATGGCAGAGAAGAAGATGCTAGTAGAGAGGGTGCCTTTGATGTAGAGAACAACTCAGAGAGCAGCATTAAAATGTTCTTGGCGAGGATCATGCATAAACTAGCTCAGGCAATTAACAATGAAACAAAGATCCGGGCAGGTTGTTGTGAGGTATACAAGTTGACCTACAAGATGATGATATTGTGCCAGATCGGAACATGGAGGACTTGAATCATCAACAAAGTGATTTTGTTGTTCCATGGGAGTTAAACTTGGTTTGCAATCTTGAAGTCCTATGTCATGCACAATGTCTAGAGCATATTTGTGTTGATTGAGGAAAATGCCAAAAGTAGAGTGAGTAACTTCAAGGCCTAAGAAGAACCGTAACTATCTGCGATCTTTGATGCCAAATTGTTTATCAATATACGTTTTGAGAGATGTGATTCAAACTGATGATGACATTAT